AAATGTGTATGAAAACAGCACTAAAGTCACTGTTCGACCTCACTGGTGTCTGTGCTGCTCGTTCTTTTCTGCAGGTGGATGTTAAACCCGTATTAAATACACAAGCACTGTGTTTATTGTGCATTCCCATTTCTTTTATTTTAAGATTTTACTATATATTTCTTAAAACCTTTCATGGATCAGCACCACCGCACAAATCTGAGCTGCAGATTCCAAAAATATTCCCTGGAGGTGCTGACGTCCTGGACGAGCTGCTCCAGGCACTCCCAAAAACCTGGATGAAAACCCGGAGCAATCCAGCTTTCTCTGTTAGTGCTCTCAAACTGTGCAACGATCGCCCATGGCCACTTTGTTGCCTGTTTGAGAGCAGTGTGTTCTTATCTTTACCTTTTATTTTGTTTTTATTGTTTTACTGATTGTGTTGTGTCATGTTCTGTGTCATGTTCTGTGTCATGTTCTGTGTCATGTTCTGTGTCATGTTCTGTGTCATGTTTGGTGTCATGTTTGGTGTCATGTTTGGTGTCTTGTACACATGTTTTCCAAACTCTCAGCTTTAGAAATGCTTAATAAATCAAACAGGATTGGGTTAGATTGAAAATCTATTCTACAAGCTGCATTTACATGCAGGTCGTCTTTAACAGCTAACATGTTAACCATCTAGATTCCTCCACTACTTCCTTGCAAAGGCTACAGCACAGAGTACATAAGTATGTAATGTAGTTATTTGGTCTATTTTAGTAGTTAACTACTGATTAACTTGTGGTGGACGGTAAGTAAACACATTTACAGAAGCGCTGTATTTATTCATAATTTTAAAGGTAGTTAAAATCTTTACACGACCCTTTAACTTCACAGTCAGCATTTTAAACAACTTGATGCTGTATAATCACTTGTTATCCGTCAGTCTTTAGAAACTCTTTGCTTCCACTGATTCTCTTGCAGATCTTGTTGCCTCCAGCTGTTTATTTTCCTTTTGAGGGAGCACAGATGTGCAGGAAAAGCTGTTTGCCGTCGTTACCTAAAAATCATTCCTATGAAAAGACAAAACAGGATAACTGGTGACTTGAAATTTAATATCAAAAGCAAAACAAAAACTAGTTGTGTGTCTATTTATGTCTTGTGACCTTTACAATGTGTACCTGTTATCGTCTTCGTCTGTTTTCCTTCCTATTTGAATTCCTCTCTGTGCTTCTTGACACACACCAGGATTTCCTTCTGTCTGGCAAGAATGCAAAACTGCATTTTATCCCAACATCTGGCTGATGTGTGTCACTTTTCTTGTCTCAGATAAGTGACATGCACGGTCCTCATCTGATGGTCTCACAGCACTGTGGTTCGCTTTTAGATTGGAAACATTTTCTTTATGAGCACATTTGTTTTGCACCTCGGTCAGTGTGCTATATCACAGAGGTGATATACAGTAGACCCCTATTACTGTAGGGTCTGCCTTACAATATAAAGCTCCTTGAGGCGACTGTTGTTGTGATCTGGAGCTGTATAAATAAACTTGAATTGAATA